CTGTTTTGAGTATAAAATGACTGCACTCTTTCTCTTAACCCTTTTCCAATGAAAGTTCCCTGCTATCCAGAGCAATAAATAGATAATGGATATTGACTGAGTTCTTTTACCTGTACACATATACTGTATATATGGATAGTTTCTTTCAGCCAGTGACAAAGTAGAAATGTTACTGTAGCATACAGCAACAACCTGTACCCTAAATAACTTTTTGCCGCATCCTTTCTACTTGTTTAGTGAAAGAAAGATCAAACCCAGACCCAGGACCAGCTAAACGACTCCCCAGTACAGACCACACCAAGGTCCGAAGCAGTGCTTACAAACCTGGCCCACGCAGATCATCTAGTGAAAGGTATGCTTTCTGTCTTTCTGCTTGACTTGTAAGACCCCTCTGCCTTCCCACTTTGCTCCTTGTTTTTGACCAAAGTACAACTATGAGTTCACAATTTATAAGCACACAAAGGTTGCAGTGGTAGCCATTACTATATGGAATTGCCTCTTCCACCTCCTCATTGTGTTCCTTCCTTGTCTTTGCATTGTCCCCACTATATAAAACTGTTTAATGTGTGTTTGAGTTGACTGCTATGGCTTTTACGTGATTCAGGGACTAACATTATACAAACTCAAATCAAGAGTAAGCTTCTTCTTGTGGTGTTAAAGTATTCTGTACATCTGTAATATTTGTAAACACATCATTTATAGTTTCAATAATGATCACTCAGACAACATACAAAATGTTAAATTTCATTTAACTCTTAAATTATGAAGGGAGTTAGACCAGCAACAGTGTCACTAACTAATATGCAGAACAAATTCGACTCCATATTAAACTGTCATATACTTTACTGTACACTGTATTTTAGTCATAGTTAAATCCAGCTTGTCAAGCTTCATTCTCAGTGAAACTGCTTCTATCTGTCATTACTATCATGTGTCAGTTTTTACACCTTGACAGCACAGAAAGGCTAAAAGCTCTGCTTTTTTTTTGTGCTAACCTCATCAGCTGTGTGTCAGCATGAGGTTCATAACTCTGGGTGTGAGGTCGGGGGCTGTCGTTACAATCCATCCGCCCATCGATCGGATGGGGCAGGTGGCGGGTGGGGTGTCAGATAATAAAACACTTTTATACTCGCAGCACGATCTTCTCCCTCACAAGCTAAAGTAGCATAAAATGTTCAACTTGTTGCTGACAAAGAGAAGTATCAAGAGATCAGACCTTAATCAATTTATGATTAAAGGGGATATCTTTAAATACTTTTCCTCTTTATTATTGTTATGTCAGAGTTTTTGAAGGGCTGTTCTTTAGTGTTAAAATGAACTACATAAATGGTGAATTAGACATAAACGGACTGAAAATCACAGAGGTAGTCAAGCCAGAGGTACACTAACTGCAAATGGAAATAGAAGCAGTATGACAGATTAATATGATGAGTTCTAAAGATGATAAGATCTAAAGATAGGGGAGAATAGACATCCGCTAGGTTCTTTTTTTTTCCAATAAGCCAGAGCTTTACAGCTCCAAATGGTTCTCTATTAGATTTGGGTACCCATCTGGGCAAGGCTGGCAGCAGCGTGTGTTGTGACTGCAGTGTACTGGCCAGGCCTAAGAGAGGGATGAGGTCATGTCTCTGAGAATGCAGTATCACACAAAGAGGCCTTATTATCAGGCTCTTAATCCTATCATACAGGGCCAAATCCCCCTCACTGCAACATGTCGTGGCCGGTGCTCTCTGCTGCATATGTCCTGTGTGCCAGCTTATACCAATCACTTATACTAATCTCCATCAAACTGAAAGTGGGCTATACACTAACTCCCACATACTGTATATTTATGCTAGTGTCATCAAGCAATACCTTCTGAGGATATTCTTTACAATAGCCATTTTCTGTCTCGCACCTGTCAGCGAGACAATGAGGTAAAGCTTATTTGAGTGTAAAAGTTCAAAGAAATATTACATCCTGAGAGTCAGCCTTTTGTAATAATGTCACTGGAAAAGGTTCAGACAGTCTTGATAACATAATAGTGTTTAGCTTTGACAGGAGTGACTACACCTTTCCACTTTTGTAAGATTTGTAATGTCCTGTAAATCTTGCAGTTACAGAGTTGGTTAGGATGACAACATGTAGCTCGTGTTTATCTCTATTAATGATTATATTCTCAACGGGTCACGTAGTGGTTAGTCATGAGACAGATTACCTATGACATTTCACTGAATTTGTTGTAGCATTAAATCATTTTCTTTGTGTGTGAGTGGAATAGTGCAGACTTGACTGTGGCATACACAGATTAAGATTCAGCAGTTACATGAGGAGGGCAAGCCACAACACATAGCATGATACAGGGCGTGTTTTCGGGAGCACTTTACGGTTACTGCACAGAAGCGGTAAGACTGTGGAGACAGCTCAGAGTGACAAAGCATGAACAGCTTTAACCAGACTGCCCACAAAGCTAAGTTTTTAGTTCCTGTCTGTTGGAGATTGTAGTTTAAGATGCAGAAAAGCACACACACACACACACACACAAGCTCAAATATTCACATTTTCACAAAAATGTACAAGCCGTCACACACTAACACAGAGACACATACGCACAGGTTTTGTATACAAATGTGCATACAGAGACACACACATCATAGTCACAGTAACAGTTACACCAAAGTCTCAACCTTTGCTGCAACATTGACACCTAGTGATACTTGACGAAAATACATCTATAGACTTGACAGAATATCAAGTCAGCGACTTTTCAAGGAGATGTATTCTTTGTCACAACGATTAACTTCAGTTTAGATTTTTTACTGTTATTTTAATGCTTCAATGAGCCAAAGTATGTACTCACATATGTCACGGCTCTAAAATCTTATGTAACCAGGCTCTTTGTGCTTGTGCTTCTTTGTACCAACAGTAGAATAATGCAGCCTGGTGTTGACTCAGGACTTAGACCCACAGTGTGCAGAGCAGGATGGAGAACAGGTTTGTCCAGATATACAATGCTAAATGAACATCACTGCAGTTTTCTACAAATCTATGCATATTTAACACAAAATGTACATTCTGTGCAGCATGTTGAAGTAAAAATATAGTTTCAGCTTTGCCCGATGTAATGTACCACTCCACCCCCACTCAGTGATTTACTTCAAAAGTAAATC